GTCAAGAAGATTGCATCTTAAATGAAAAACCGATAAAAGTGAAAGTTACCCAGACCAGGTGTGCTATCGGTTTGTGGTTTTTAGATGCTCGCGCTTTCAACAACGAATCTCATTTAACATCGCTAGATGTACATAGAACCGACTGCGATCTTACAGAAACCGGTTATTGAGTGCTAAGACCGCTTCATCTTAGAACTGTGCGATGAGGCTTAGTCCTATTGTATTGGGCTTTATCTTACCCAGCCACAGACGTGTCAGCCCAGGTTGGGACTCGGTGTGAACAGCGACCCCGTGAGTGCGACGCGTGGCAACAAAATAACGCGGGCATAAAGACGACACCGAGTGCGGCACAAGGCGCGAAACAATGCGAAAAATACCGCATACGCTCTTTGTCTTCGCGTGCAGCGGCTTGGGCGTGTGGCACTGCCCCTAACAACACATGGTTTCCATGTGCGCATGAATCTTAGCCGCAGTAAGACGTGCACACTTATCTAGATGAACGGAGTTAGATGTTCAACATGGAGAGGGTGAGAATGGCTGACTTCCTGGGAGCGTGTCGTCCATGAATCTGGAATAAACCACAGACTGGGGGGGTTCCAAACCTGTCAGCGGGCCTGCCGCATGCACAAAATCAAGGCACCGGCAGATATTCACGAACACGGTTACTGCAGCTGCTCTACGTATTATTGGGCCGCCAGCGTCAGTTCGATTTCCTGACCAGCTGTGACGGTACTCGTATTACCACCGTGTTGATGGTTTTCCCATTAGTCATTGCATGAGTCACTTATGCATGCTGTCAACGTACAACATAGCGTCGTGTGTTCTTGGCTGGCTTGCCGAATGACGATGTACAGACTATGCACACATACGTTGAAAGGGGCTGATAACTGATGGCTGTTATTTCAATGAACTCTTTTGTTGAGGTGTCGTTCTATGCATCAAAGCGGAATACACTGGCTGCTCGAACAGCTTTGCACTTTTCTATAGACAAATGAGAAGCATGAGCTAGGAGATGCATTGTGTGTTATTACATGGAGATGAAGGGCTTATGCTAAGGGGATTGGATGACATGAAAATCATTTTGCCGATGTCACGACCAGTTCATCGAAGTGCTGCTGGCTGCTGCTGGCTGCAGCGTTTTATGCCGTCCCGGCCGGTGTTTTCCGCGAGTGTATGATGACGCGAGCGCTGTGGCCCGGCGGGTCGGCCCCAGCGCCGGCCTTGCACCAGTCGGCTCCCTCGTGACTGCCGGCGGCAGGGCCGGCTGGGGGGGGGGGGGGGGATCGTGAGGTGACCACGCCCGCCAGAGCGCCGCACCACGCCGCCAGGGGACGCAACCGACGTCACGCTCCTGTCCAGAGTCGACATTAGGACATTGATTTAGTGCATGAAAAGCCGTGGTATAACCGATAAGTGTCGATGCATTGCGAAAAGCAAAGTCACGACGTATGAGCGGGAAAGACAGAGAAAGAGAACAACAGAGCAGGATACGAGGGAGAGTGATCTTAGATTGCAAACGCACGTCACATTGCAGGAACCAGTGTGGTAAGCATAGCCCGGGCCAGATGTTCTAGCTAATTTGTCCGCCAGCAGAAACGGGTAGTAAAATATATTGGCCCCGTCACTTGTTGCGAGGCACATGACCTTCTTGAGTGTGGTCCTTTCCTTTGTTCAGTGTTCCGCTAGGTGCCCGAACTGCTAGGTGATGCCCGGCATGCTGCCGGAAGTCGGTCCGACACGCGGAGCAGAACGCACCGCATGACCAAGGCCGGCGGTACACAGGCAACGGCGTGTGTACATTGTCGCGGCAACCGACGACATTATCAGCTTATGACACTCTTTGGCAGTGCCACCTGGGATGAATGCGGCCAGAGGTGTTGTTCAGTCCTTTTGGTGTAATGTCGCTCAGTGACTGTCATGTAGCAGGAGACGCTACCATCGACCAAGGTTTTAATGTGATTTAAAATCAATTAAAGGTCTGGTTTAATATTTTTGCTCATGATACCAAAAATAAAAAAGTACATGTAATGGTTTAGACCGCTGCTCAGATATTTGTCGCTTTCTTATGAGCACACGTGTCATGAGCAAAGGCTACATAATGATACATCTACTTAAATCTTCCACTATGCTTATCGCGGACATCCACCCCACCAGTAATCCCAAATTCATTTGCCTGTACACTGCTCCTAAAAGTACGCATGCCGGCTCAGCGGATGGCAGCAAAACCGAAAAGAGGTGCCGCCCGAGCCCACGGTCCCGCTCCCGATGAGCTGATCAGCTGTTCACGAACCGGCGCCAACCGGTCACGTCATGCAAACGTGCTCGCTCTAGCCCACAAGCGCCAGTCGGGTGGGATTAGAGCAGGGCATCAGTCTGCATGCCGATCAGCACTGTGGATTCGCAGTATCCTGTACACCACAATGTTCGACCTCGTGCGACCAAACCACGGCGATTTCCTGCTGCCGATGCGCTGGGTCCAGCGCGCCGGCTGCCGGCATGGGGTCCGCTCCGTGCGCTCCCGCCTCCCGCCGCCGTGATCACATCACGCCAAACACAGCCGGGGAAAGTCGCGCGCCGTGCCGTCCCGGAAAGATCGGCCGGCCCTGGCCGCCGATGGGTCGCGCCGGGAGCCGCACCTGTCGGCAGGGGGCGCCCGGTGCGGCATTGCCGCGCCGGGAGGTGCCGCGAGCCCCGCAGGACATCGGGCGGTGGTCCGCCCCCGCGCCGCCGACTCCCGCCGGCCGGAGCGTCAGCACATCGTTTGCCCGACGCAGGGTGTCGTGCTGAGCAGGGACGGCCGGTCTGTGGTGGTCGGGCGGACGGCCTGATCGCTGCACTGATTGAGCTTCTCCTGAAACGCGAACGAGGTCCACGCGGCGCATCTGGAGCACGCGGCTGCGTCCAAAGCGGGCAGGCAGAGGGCTCACCTCCGGTGAACGTAAATCGCAGAGATCAGCATAGTAATCGGCGTCTAAAGTGACGAACGTCCTTGGTCCTAACGCCATGCGTTTTCTCCCCGCACCAGTTAAAGTCAGGGACGCCTCGGCTTTGTTCCTCAGAGAAGATGCGCTCTCGATTGGAGCCCATTGCTCATAGAATCCCATCCTTCGCGGTCGCCAGGAAAGGCTGTCGCTTGGCATTTAAAGCTGCGCTAGCTGCCGCTTACGCCCCATCACCTCCGCCCACCGTCCGTATTAGTCGCGCGACCTTGCTGACGGATGCGCTGGGGTCAGGGAGCCGTGGCCTCTGACAGCCGCCGCCCCCGCTGCCCGGCCGGCCGGCCGCACTCCCCGTGTTCCCCTTCCGCCACCGACAGGTGGAGGAACCGACAGTAGGCCGATCGGACACGACAGAACCGCGAGGGGCCGCTCTTAGTGTGCGATGATGCCATAACGCAGATGTATGGTCGCGATAGGAGGTGGCGTTTTCTTTGCCACTGTCGTTCAGATTGTTTTAAATCATATTGGAGAGAATAAAGCCAAATAGGCCTGTTTCAAAATACGAACATGGTAACATAGGTCTTGATTTCACAAGAGGACACTCGCGGCGATAAACCCAGGGACACCAGGAGCTCAGCATATTTTTGAATTAGCTGGTACCCACCGCAGTGCGTTAGACAAGACACCAGCCCAACGGCACAGCGACATTCCTGTGAAGACAGTTCATGTCTCAAGGTCCGTCATGTGAAATGCATATCTGAAGATGAAGGGCCACGGAAAAGATGCATGAAACTTATAAAACGTTCTTAGTGGCAATGCCGCTATGTCATTACATGTTAATGTCGACAGTTCTCTACTGGCATTTGGCGGCTTAGGAGAGGGGTTGTGCGGAATGGCGTGGTGACAGGGCACGCCATGCTACTTTTTCTGTGACAGTTTGGGGGGGGGGGGGGGCGAGGAATGTGAACAATGACAAAAATAGCATCCTTTGACGTGATTAAACTTGCAAGACTCCACAGCTGACAGGGGTGATTTGGTATATGACCGGCAGAATTAAGGTGAGGTGAGTTAAGCGCTGAAGGGCTTTCCTGTGGATGAGGTTGTTCTGTCTGTCAGTGCCTGATGTGCTGTACAACTGCACTTCAGTAGAGGTAAAAACCGACCACAATACTAATGATGCAGTGGCCTGGTTTGCTCTTGGTTGATAAGATCACACGTGACTGAGTCGGTGCCCGAGTGTCTCCAATTTGCGGGTCCGATGCGGGCAAGCACCGGACAGACAGCTGACCTTTTATAACGGGCGTATGCAATCACTAGCAAGCCATGATGTCACGTTTTCGTGACCCCTCTTGCAGTTTTCAACACTGCACTTGACAGACAGTTGAATACGCGATATCAGCAGCAAGCTTGCGGGCGGCCAAATATGCTCAACCCCGAAAAGTAAACGACTGTTTTTTTCTCGTCCGTTAGCCCAGAACCGTTTGCTCATTTCTTTTTTATTACTGCAATCACCTTAAAAAGTCTTACACGGTAATTTTACCAGCACTTGGAAAATTAAAACATCTTATTAGCAAGAGCAAGTTGGCAGAACAAGAAAAGTTGTCTGCAACATGCAAATCTGAACCAAGAATCAGGCCAATTATGGAGCGCTATTTCATGATTTTTGTTTGCCCGTGAGCTTGCATCACCTTCCCAGGCCCCTTAATTCCTCTCTTAGGTGGACCATTCATCTTTCGCAAGTGTCATCATCTCTGCGGCCAGCATCACCGGCGTCGCTGGTTTTCTACTTGTATGGCATTCTGCACCTTCACGCCCCTCCCTTTTGAAGCCCCATATAAGGCCCGAAGTTCTTCATCACCGAAAACAGAAGTCTTTGTTTTCGAAATCAGTTCATTGCCGCACAAAAGATCAAAATTATATGAGGATTCTATTCTATGATTCTATGAGGCTCCACAGCCGTCTATGCGTGTCTAAAGGCTTCCTCTCGCATTCTCCTGGCACAAACGTCTGCTATGCCATTCGACCATCGTCCACCGGTGACGCTGCGCTGGCTGCCTGCAGGGACGGCGATGCGCCTGTTCGGCCGGCGGGGCCCAGACTCGGCCCCCCAGCTGGTCAGCCTGGCGCCGCTCGAGCGGGACGGGGGTGTGCTCGCCAACGCTACCGCCCCGCCCACCTTCGCCAAGGCGACCGCCGCCCGCCTTCCAGCGGGCGACCAACGGCGCAAAGGTTCGTGCCGATCACGTAGGCTGCCGCGCAACGGGCAAAATCAGCACGGGTAAATCCAGCATGTACCCCCGAGTAGAGAATCCTTTTATTGCCACCTGGACCTGTCAGCTAACGTGCAAACTCGGAGGAAATGTGGCTCAGGTGGTGCTAATTGGGCATCCGAAGATGGCAACCGGGTGTAGATTTTCGTCCATACGTTTATTGCCGGCTGGTCTCCGAATCAACCATGAGTATATAGTTAGATATAAGGAGAGAGGAGGCGTTCTGTGCGTGCCGTCGATCTATTAAAAGTCAACCTTTGTATTAAATCACGGTAGAAGACAGGCATTTCTTAGAATGCGTAAGATGTGAATATGTCTAACGATTTGCTGGCGTGTTCAAGTAAATTCCTTGATGTTTTATACGCGCTCCAAGGAAGCTACATCAACACAAAATTTATGAAATGTCCTTGATGTCTGTGATATGTGAGTGAATGCCTATTGTTCGCATAACCAGCGCCTTAACTCATTTTCATACTTATTCGCACGCCAGGGATAACAGTGCACACAAATTCTAATTTTAATTGACTAATCATTTGATGTTTTGGGTAAAAGTTAGCAGACACAGGTGCAACAAGTCAAAAGGAATCATTCATACTAGTCCAGGCTTCAGCAGCGCAGTATTTTAGGCTTGTGAACCTTACGGCTCAGTGGTGCTGTTTGCATGTCGTGAGCAACAGCCTGGTCCTACAAATCCAGATGCATGTAGCGATGTAACTAAATCGCATAAAAAACATATCAACAGCATCTCAATGTTTTGAAAAAGGAAACTGCGCTCCTTTCCTTCAACCTTGAAACTTACGCATGTGCAGCGATTACGTGAAAACCAAGCCTTACGAGGATCGCGGTTCGTTAAGGAAGATCATTTTTTCGTGAGACATGCGTAGCGTTACCGATATGTCTTTTAGCCAACATGTTGCACATTTTTCCTGTTGAGTGACAGTAAGCCTAGGCTTTAGCTACGTGCCTCAATGTGAAATTGGTCTCAATTCCATCAAAGCTCATGACGAACCGTCGACCGACGCTCGGCAAATTCCGCCTCCCACCGGCGGGGCAAGAATCCGTCACAGGGGCGGATCCAGCGAAAACAGTTGCGCGTGCTGTATCCCCAATACGGTTAAAGAACACTCCTTTTTGTGTTAGGGCTCGGCTTCTGTGAAATTGCTGCTGACTGTTGACCTTGGTTCCTCCAAGATTTGACGCTGGATCCGCCTTTAGCCGGAGTGCATGCTTTCCGAGAACCGCTGGTGATGGGAGGGAAGGGCTACCGGTCTGATACGGCTGCTGATGCCACAATTGGACAAAGGAATGTCAGGCGATATTGAGAGTTGATAAACAGGTGAAATGAAAAGGTGATCTCTAAAACTAGTTTGTTTGTCTTAACACCAAATGGATGTGAGTTACTTGTTCACTCAATTTTTCGCTCTAGTGCTTTGTTGGCCTTGGACATGACATCTGAAACCGGTCTGCTTGCACAGCCAGCCGAGCCGCTCGTAAAACACGAGCAAGCCCGTGAACAAAATGCGCTCGGATGCGAGTCGTTCTCCTCACCAGTGTGCTCCGCTTGAACACGAAACCGCCCGTTGAGCACCCTAGAAGATGGCTTGTCTCTCTGCAGCGTCATAAATTGTAGAAATTTTAACATATGAATATCGCGATTTTGGGCGGCCAATTAAACACATTGATAGCCAGACTTATTGGGAACATCATCCATTCGCATAGTTGAGGCGGATGACTGCCATGTAGCTAAGTCTACAAGTCATTACAGGATGGAATCAGCTGGAGCTCCAAGACACCAGAAGCTCTGTGCGTTGAAATGTCAGTCCTAATGACGCCAGGGGCTCGCGAATTAATGGCCTTCTCTTCTCAGCAAAGAACAGAAGTGGAAAGCGAACTATACTGTCACTTCCCTTTTGCTTGATTAGACTGCTTTGTATTTTATAGGAATGCACCTGCAAGTAATTTAAGCAACATAATAATATATTGTTGGAGAATTGTACGTGTCGGAGTGCACAACATTAATTCATATGGAGCATGGTGGATACAAACTGGGGCTTCGCATGTCTTCTTGTTCCCCGCTGCAGTCTGCGGTGGTGAGCTGCTCCCTATCCGGAAGTTGCAGTCGCCGCTTTTCTGTGCCGATCGTCACATGACGCACTGCCAATGCGTTTGCTCTGTTGACCAAGTAACCTCATTCCTATAGCGTCGTAGGTGCCATGGATGCGATTCCAAAGTGAGTAGGAAGTGAAGGTCTAATTTACAGACATGAGTGAATTAATTAAACCAAAGCCATCCCACGTAGCGTGATCGCATTCGTTATGGAACCGACCTTGACAACAGATCATGATTGGATGCAGGCGTGAGGCTACAGCTGTTGCGGTTGTAATTGCGGGGTGAGGTGATGACTGTTAACATAACATTTTTGAAGGCAACTATGAGCAAATTTTACAGAACAAACGACTTGCTGGCAACTCATGAAAATATATGTGCCAAAGTCATTTGTATTGATATTGACGTACACTTGTACTTCCATGGCACAGCTGTTTTACTCATGATTCTATGCGTGATTGTATTCCATGGGCCACCAATATCTAAACCAAAGATATGAAGGAAAAAATGTCACACACACACCAATCATCAAGTTACGCATCTCGCCTAACAGAACAAATTCCCACTTTCCATACCTTCCTTACATATGAGGAGAACTGCACTCATTCGATGGCTTTTCCTCACACCATTATAATTTTTCGAGATGGTTTCGATTTCCCACGCCTCGCTTGCTTAGGTGGGTTTCTTTGGACCCGACCGCTTATAGTTTGATGGACCACAATCGATGAACGTGTACCGAGCATGACAATCGTGCTAGATGAATAATTATGTCAAAGGGCTTGTCAGATGGCAGTGTTGTGCATGCCCGGTGACCAGTCATGTACGCTTCAGGTAAAGCTTAATGAAAAGGTGTGCATGAAGGTGTGCGCATTGGCACGTTGGAGATGAGCTAGCTTATTACAGAAATGTTCATGTCCGATATGCTCAGTCTTGTCACCCGGTTGACACTGGACATACCAGGTGCGAGGAAAATCGCATTACGAATATCGATAATACAGCATATGTGCCTTCTGATACCCTTATATGTACGAACACTTTTGAAAAGACATTAATTTCTGTTAGAGCATAATTTGATCGGCGAATTTGCCGCCAAAGAACTCGTCCCAACTGGCACCCGCTCTGACACACACCCCGTTTCTAGACCCGACGACATAGACTCGCCGAGTGGGTCACCGTCTCTCCCGGCTGACACCCCCCCCCCCCCCCCGTTTTCAGACCCGCCGACATGGAGTCGCCGAGTGGGTCACCGTCTCTCCCGGCTGACACCCCCCCCCCCGTTTTCAGACCCGCCGACATGGAGTCGCCGCGTGGGTCACCGTCTCTCCCGGCTGACACGCTCGCTCAGCACGGAGCAGATCAGCGCGCCCCCTGCCGGCCGCCGCCGCTGGGTGCTCTCCGAGGACTCCGACGAGCTGTCCACGCCCGCCGACAGAGGCGCCACCGTCGAGCGCGGTGGCGCCGGGCGCGCCCCGCCGCGACGCACGGAAGACCGACCAACCTGTGCCACGGCCGGCCTATGCACAGCCAGGGGAGCGACCCACACCGGCGCGAGGCCCGCCAGTGCCGTCAAGCGCAGTGTCAGTCTGTACAGGAGCGCTTCGGCCAGTCAGCTGCACGTGCCACAGTTGGACTCCCTGGAGAGCTCGTCACCGGCCTCATTCGGAGAATTCAGTGTTTGGAGTCCCGCAACTCAACTTGACAGTGCAGGGAGCTGCTCAGAAGTCAGAAACACAACCGGGAGCAAAGTTGTTCGCGAGGAGACCAGAGCAACCAAGCAGCGTTTGCCTTCATTGCCTGAGGAAAGTGAAGGCGACGTGAGAAGGAAGCGCAAGGTACCAGTTAGGGAGCCACGGCCAAAAAACAACGAGGCTGTTCTAAAAGATTCGAAAACTCTAAGCCGTCTTCCTCAGGCCCACAAGATCAAAACAAGCAAGAACTCGTTAGATAATGACAGCAGGTCCAGTGCTAAAACGACCCGCCAAACGCCTCTTGAGACGAAAAACTATCGTCCCACTGCCGCGACCCTCGCACACGAGGACGACGATCCATCTCAATGTACCTGGAAACCCCCGCTAAGCCACGGCTGCTCAAACGAGAGTGGCTACGACAGTGATGGAGCGAGGCCTATGGAGGATTCCCCGGCCGGAGGCAGTTCAGCTGGCGCATGGAAGCCGCGTTCTACAAGCTCCTCTTCTGGGAACGGCCTCCGCCCGCTCGTCGGCACCGCCTCTGCTAAACGACGTGATCCAGCTTCTGCTGGCGATCCGTACCGCCCACCTGCCATCTTCCCTCGATTGGGGAGAGGCGGCGTAACCCATGGGTCGGAAGGCGACGAATCAGACGCCTCTGAGCTACCCTTTGCCTCTCAAAACAATGATACTATTCTCCGGCAGCCCAAGGCGACGAAGGAAATGGCTGCACGTGATCTCCCACATCCAACCAAAACAGATCACCAGAAGGCCACCAGAAGCAGGCAAGATCTGCACCGACAGCAGCCGACGAAGCCACAACGAACGTCCCTCATTCCAAAGGAAGGGAACGAAATGTCGACACAGACTTCTCTGCCGTGGGATGCCAACGTGTTTGACGAAGCTTCTCCAGACAGAGAATGTCTGAGTCTGGAGCCGAATGCTGGTAAAACCATGGGAGGTCGGAAAGGTGGCATACTACGCAGGGGTCACAGCCCATACCACCATGGGACTGCCAGAGGTCGCAGTCCTCACTACAGGGACGACACCAAGGGCCGCAGTCCTCATCACACAGACACCAACAGGGGCCGCAGTCCTCATCACACAGACACCAACAGGGGCCACAGTCCGTACTTCTCAGAAACCACGAGAAGACACAGTGTGCATCATCAAGACGCAGGCCGGGGACGCATTCCTCATTTATCCGATGCAGCCAGAAGTCACAATCCTTTTCATTCGGACAACCTGCGAGGCCACAGTCCCTACAACCAAGATTCCAACAGAGGATGCAGCCCCCAGTATGCTGAAGCCAGCCGAGGACACAGTCCATACAATCAGGATAACACCAAGGTTCGCGGTCCGCCTCACAAGGACGCCAACGCCGGCCAGCACACCGGCCGCCGAGCGGGAGCGACAGTCAGCGACTCCTCTTCAGGTTCCACTCCGGATCCCCCGGCCGGGGCTGCGGTTGGCGCGCTGAGGCAGGCGGTGTCCCGGGCCCCGAGGAGAGCGTGGGAGCGAGAGGAGCCGCGCCAGGCTCTCAGCGGACCGCGCTCTGCCTGCGCCGAGGAGCGGAGCGGCAGCAGTCGCTCGCCCACCCCCACGTCAGCGAGCGACGGCCACCGCAGGCGGGACAAGCCGCCGTCTCGGCTGCAGGAGACCGGAGCCAGGCGGGGCAAGGTGGCATCGCCACAGCCCGACGTTGGCCACAGGCAAGACAAGCTGACCACATTGAAGCACGACTTCGGCATCCGTCGCAGCAAGCTGTCGTCGCTGCCACACGGCGTCGGCAGCAGACAGGGGAGCCGGCTTTCTCTGCCGCATGACGCTGGCAAACAGAGTAAGGCGTCGTCCATGCAGCCTGGCGATGACGTCGGAGAGGGAAGACTGTTGTCTGCGCAACATGACCTCGGAAGCAAGCACAGCAGGCTTTCACCTCAACCTCACGGAGTTGCTGGCAAACAGAACAAGCTGTCGACCAAGAGGTTGATTGATAGCAGCCGGCAGCCCAAACTGTCGCCAGCGCAGTCTGATATCAGCAACAAACAGTTCAAGCTGCTTAGGATTAGAAAGACAAGAGCAGACTCCCTTGGCATCTCCATTGCAATCAACGCCGACCGAGATTATTTCATCGCCGAGATGGAGAACCGTGGAGCGTTGCACAGGTACTCAACGGAAGTTGATTGACAAGCTTGAGGGAGATCGGCTTCAAGGAGCGGTGTTCGTACACAAAAAGAAAGACATGCGTTCGGTTACTCGCTTGTTTGCAGCAGCAGATCTCAGCATACGTTTGTTGCATGATCTCGATCCGTTTGGTCATCAAATATATAGCTCACACTGAGTTGAACAAGCTCCTAAAACCACAGTATTACGTTACGTGCGCATTGGGCTACTTGATCTTATGTTCGCTTTTTAAGGAACGATATATTCATGCGCTTTATTTCCGAGTATCACCCGATGCATTTTTTATATTTGTTCTCAGGGACGGGCGCTTCAAGGTGGGCGACGAGATAGTGAACGTGAACGGCCGCCGGCTGCGCGGCTGTGCCCTCGAGACGGTGCTGGACATCCTGCGCGACCCTTCGCCCGAGCTGGACATCGTCATAGCCCGGGACTTCAACCCGGACCGGCTGAGCCAGCAGCAGGCCGGCCAGCACGTGGTGGTCATCTCTGTGCCGGACAGCAGCGGAGCGGCGACGGCACGAGACGACGCCGATGACCCGGACGACTCGCTCGACTACCCGGCAATTGGCTCCGAGTTGTGTGACGCCTCCGAAACAGAGGAGCACCAGCGGCCAGAGTCGGTGCTCTCCGGTGTCTCCAGTGCTCAGCCGTCCTCCCCAGTGAGAGGGCTACTGCGCAGGCGCCATGATCCGAAGTCGGGCACCAAGTCATCCGGGTTAGGAACCCTGCGCCGGCCCAAGTCGCTGGCCACTTCCCTGCTGACGCTGACTTTTGAAAAAGGAGCTGGAAAGAAGAGCCTTGGCTTCAGCATCGTGGGCGGACGAGATTCTCCAAAAGGCAGCATAGGAATATTTGTCAAGACGGTGTTTCAGAATGGTCAAGCAGCTGGTAAACTCATAGAAGGTGAGTCTAGCTTACTGTATTGGTTTGTTGTGGTGTTTCGGTTCAATGAGTGGTTCGTAGGGATATTGGGCTTGCCGGCGGCATCCCGTGAGTTTCATGTCTACTCTCCTGCATACATTAGCTCTTGAAAAAGATTGTTACACTTTGAGAGCCGGCTTATACCAGAGCAAGCACTAATCCGGCAAGTTTTCCGATTACTTCTCAATTGGTTACCGTCGTATTACCTCGATTTCCTCTTGGCATCATATCACTTCTCTGAAAGGCCACAGATACCTGGGAACAAATAACTAGCTCCTCATAAAGGGCGCTCCTTGGCGTCGGTATTATCATTCCTGGGGTACCTCACGTCGTTAAGCTTATGCTCCCTTTGTTAACTTCCGTTTATCTCTGGTGATGGATCGGTTCAGCAGAGTCATTATGTTAAAGTAACTTCGTAATGCAATGCTTACAACACATTTCAGCGTGGCTGCTTTACAGCGCTTGTATGTGGAAACAATGTGGGCATGGAGCATTTGTAAACGTCTGGGCGAGGTGCACCGTTACCGCGCTTCTTGAAACAAGATCTTACCTGAGTCTTCTCTGTCAAACATGCGTTTCTCCCTTTCTTTTAACCCGAGCACCTTACCATCTCGTGTGCTCTGCAGGTGATGAAGTGCTGACTCTGTGTGCTCTGCAGGTGATGAGGTGCTGACTCTGTGTGCTCTGCAGGTGATGAAGTGCTGACTCTGTGTGCTCTGCAGGTGATGAAGTGCTGACTCTGTGTGCTCTGCAGGTGATGAGGTGCTGACTCTGTGTGCTCTGCAGGTGATGAAGTGCTGACTCTGTGTGCTCTGCAGGCGATGAAGTGCTGACTCTCAACGGAGAGAGCATGCAGGGACTCCTTCACAGCGAGGCTGTGACCCTGTTCAAGTCGGTCCGGTCGGGTCAGGTCACGCTCGAGGTGGCTCGCAGAGAAGGCACGGCAAGTTCCAGGTAGGTCGCACCGACAATGACGATGGCGCGAACACAACATGTGAGCGTTATGCAGGTTATCTGGCCTCCCCACTGTCATCCGCGCCCGCCGGCCAAAGGCGGAAAGACACTTGCTCCCGTCACCTCTGCCTCACGAGCAAAACTTTGCAAGCGCTGTGTGCATCGCTGGTTCACGAGCAAATTCGGATCCTTCTTTATACCAGCCGGCTATGGGTTACTAGTTTTTGATTTATCAATTACTTGCGTGTGTCATTGAACACACTTTGTTATAGCCAGGGGAACTTGAAAACCAGAGCAACTGTCCTTGGACCTCAACATGGGACCCATACTGTTTTGCAAAACAAATAAGGCTACTTGAAATGTTTAAAAAAACTTTGTAACAGTTCTGAAAAAGTTATCATGCTGTACGAGATACAGCACTCTTTGAGTTCTTCAGTTACAACATAGCAATGCTGACACCCGCGAGGACGGATGTGGACGCTGAGTCCCCAAATTGGAGAATCTGCCAGTCATCCGGGCATTCTACCATTCTCGTGATCATGTCAAGCACATGCAAGCCGACCACAGAGTTCTAGAGACGCACATCTCAAAATATGGGACGTACCACCCCATGACGCAGGGTGATGGGCAGCATATCAGCGTCTGACACAATCAGCTCCCAACAGTATTTGTGGCGGCAGAATTTCCCAGTCACGGTGTCTGGAGTGCATCAACGCCTGGTAACACTTCAAGCGCGGCTGACCTCACCCAGTCTGGACGTTTGTGACGGATGACACCCGTATTGTGGCGGCTGGTTGTGACTTAACGCCAGACGCTAACGATCGCTTGTCTCAGCTTGCGGTGAGGCCTCTGCTAATCACTCAAACCGAAGGTTAGTGAAAACATACATTGCTTCAGAACATCGCGCGAGGTGTGTGAATTCCATGGTCGCCAGTGCAAGCTTTCACGCGGTGGGAGGTGGCAGATAACGTCCATTACAAAAACTAAACCTGATAATCTCATGCAAAGTTTTGGTGCTTCCCACAGGTCGTGGGCAACGCTTGCCACAGCCAAAAGTATCACGGCTTTAATGATGGCTCACACGTCTTCAATGTTACCCGTGTCAGTTTTTGTGACGACGCTCATGACAATCTCGAGAGAGATTTGAACGAATGTGCGACCAGGGCCAGAACAATGAGCTTTGCTTCGTTTCGAGAGCGCGTTCAGAGATGCAACCGACCTCGAAGGGCGCCACTTCTCGCCGTGCTTGTTATTGTGTCAGTCAGTCTAATCAGTCAATCAGTCAATCAGTCTAATCAGTCAATCAGCGCGTCGGCGGAGTCGCGTCCACTAGGCTGGTTCTTGTACTTTAAAACATGTATGTACTTATCATCCATACCGTCTCCTATGTTCCCTGAGTGGTATTCAGTTCAAGCAACCCTCGGCTAACGGTTCACTGCTGCTGGATGCGAATGCCTCGGCGTTATTATCGCTCACTTACCGCGTCAAGGTCACTTCGTAATGGACCAGCTGTGCCGCCGTTAATTTAGATACAGTCTGACAGTGTAAACTGCGCGTCACCCACCTGCTTGTGTTTGTCAGTTCAGCCGAGCCCTCAGTGGCGCAAGTCTCCCGCAAGCCGCTGATGCTGGCCGTCGAACCGATGTATATCAGGCGGAAGAACGCCAGGCACGCGGCTCCGACCGCAGCGCCATCTATTACGTGGCCGTGTACTGGGTTTTGATTAAGCGTCACACGAGGCGGCAGCACTGTTGAAGTGCAGCTCACTCTTTAGAGCGCCAGTGCTTCCGTCCGTTGCAGCGAAGGAAGCCCTGCGGTAGGCAAATAGCTACGAGAAGAACATCAATTTCCATGCTCTCATCTCCTTGATAGATTTCTCTCCTAAGTCGTTCTGTCACTTTATTTGCTTTGGGTCATTTTATTTCCTTTTTTGAGTCGACACCCGTATAACTGAGTAAAAATTAAGTCTTCCCAATAATCCTCAAATTTCCTGAACATTGTGGCACACGGAGTGCCACGTTTTGTGTGAAAATGTTCCCTCTACCAGGGGATGTTGTCACGCACGCTGGTACTGGTTGTGAAATCATTTGAACTTTAATATACCCTTTATTTTTATGCATATCTCAGCCCAAAATATGGGAATAAACAGAAACCTTAGTGTTTCTATAAAATGAAAAAGATGTGTTCACTTCAGGGCAGTAACCATTTATGCAAATCCACAACAAGCCCCAACACGAGTCGTGACAACACGCAAACGGCAACTATACGAACTACATACAAGATGTTCAAGCACATCGCTAAGCCCCAGCATAAGTTGTGACAATACGCAAACGGCTGTTATCCAACCACGTGCAAGATGTTCAAGCACGTCGCCAATTTTGGCCCTCCCGTTGATCACCAAGATGTGAGGAGCTTGCAGTGCATCTCATAAGGCAATTGCGATCCCATAGAAGCAACAAACGATAGCAGTAGGTATCTGGAAGCATAAGCAAAAATTTGTGAATTTGTTCATAAAAAACATCATACACCTTTGTGTCGTCTTGTTTCCCCGTAACAGGACGCATCTAACGCTGCAGATTACAGGGACAACGAGCTTTGCATCAGCATAGGCTTTGTAAATTGCCAACCTTTAGGGACCAAAACATAAGCTCCATGAAATTGTCTGATGAGAATCTAGCTCCACTAACCTCGGTTTCTTTTTGGATATGAATGTTCAGCACTGCCCCGGTTTGACAGTATGAATATATGGAATAAATGCTCCCTTTCCGATTTCTTTTCAATACTCACTGCAAAGTAAGGTGACCAGTTCGGTCTCGGAAGGCATCCGACGTCACCGCTTATGAGCCTGTGGCGGCGGTGCCATAGCCAGCCGTACATGAGACCGGTGTTCTTATATAGGTGTAGCTCAGGTCATAAGCTGGCTATCATTGCACCAGCATTTCTTGAAAATATACAGTTTGGTAAAGTTCTTTGCTATCATTCGTGCTGAACGTTTAGAATAGTTGATTGGACGCTTGCGCCTTCCTATTTTCTGCCTGCCGGTCCGTTGATTTTGGCGGATCCGCCGTTCGACTTGGGCCTGGTTCACAGCCGATCGGACGGCACGCTCCTGAACCTGACCCCGCCGTTCATGTGCCTTACCGCCGTGAGTCGGTGACGAACTGTGACGCCGGCCGCCGCCGAGCGTCACGACCTGGCCGCCGCCGCGCCCAGTGACGCTCGTGCTGTTCGTCTTCGCACGCTTGCGCAACGGCGGGTGACCTTCCGTGCGCGGCAGCCGGGGGCGTGTCGTCTGGCGCTGCGGCGGCGGCGGCGCGACCGAAGCCTCCTCGCGGCCCGGTCCGTGCCCCGGCGGCGCTCTGCGGCACGGCGGCGCCTCAGGGCAGCGTGACGACCGACACGACCTCGGTGATCGATGCCCTTACAGACGCTGAAACACAGCGCTCGGGGATCTGTCATTGTGGTAACCCTGGGTGATGTAATGCTTTCGCTTTCTGCGTGCGACCCTCCCGGGAAGATCCAGCTCGCTGCCTGTAATTTTGTCGAATAACAGATTGGTGATGGGCTTGGGCAGTTATCAGAGTGGTCTGTTTGTTGTCTTTCAGGCAATTGATGTCGAAGTCCTGTGATAATCTTCTGAGGGTCCAAGAATGATCCACCGCTGTCAACATTCTACGGCACCCTTCACTTCGTGAGCTTTGGTAAGGCTAGGAGATCAGCGTGAAGGGAGTTCGGTTGAATTCTGAAAGACGGAAAGCAAACAAAAGCGTGTCTCGCGTAAACTGTGTGAACCCTTCAAATTGCTTAAAGGTTATGTCATGCTGCTTCTAAATAAGTCTGTTGTCTTCTGTACTATGCGCTGTAAAGTCTTTTCGGTTCTTGCAGGTGAGACAAGGGCTGCATTCCAGCCTTGGAATGCGTCTGCATGCAACGATCGTGTTCCCTGGAGTCATTCTTCACTTTATTCGTGCACCTCACCTCCTGGACTTGCCTGAGACTTGACATGTTTCTGAGCTCCGCTGCCCCGCGTGTGACCTCTCCCGGAACCTGTTGATAGACCCAGGCCCCTGTGCCCCCAGGTAGCCAGCTATCCGCGGGCCGAGGAGCCGGCTCTTCAGGCGATTCCCCGGTAGCTGGCAGCTGAGCATCCGCTCCTGTCCGCGGGTCGAGGAGCCGGCTCGTCAGACTATTCCCCGGTAGCTGGCAGCTGGGCGCCCGCTCCTGTCCGCGGGCTGAAGAGCCGGCTCTCCAGACTGTTCCCCGGTGGCTGGCAGCTGGGCGCCCGCTGCCGTCCGCGGGCCGAGGAGCCGGCTCTTCAGACTGTTCCCCGGTGGCTGGCAGCTGGGCGCCCGCTCCTGTCCGCGGGCCGAGGAGCCGGCTCGTCAGACTGTTCCCCGGTGGCTGGCAGCTGAGCGCCCGCCCCGGTCAGTGGACCAATGAACTGTTGTCCTCATCAGGAGCGCTGGTCCGCGCAGGACCGCCTCGTGGACCTCTGCTGCGCACCGGGGGCCTTTCGTGGAGTGGGCAGATCTCAGTGACGACTGTGCAAACATTGGTGCTGATGCAATGATAAACACTTCAGCACCTTTTATGAGGCGGTGAACATTGGCCGCGAAATGGAGTTATATGTGAGGGTGTTTTTCTTCCTTAGTTGTACGTGTCCAACTGAGGACGGTTAGGTTTAAAACAGTGACCGAGTTCACGCGCATCTTTCAGAACGCCTCTGCTATCATTACACCTACATTGAACGCATTCATAAATATGATTTCTTGCTCCCGCCTTAACGAAAACGGCTTGTGCGATGAGGCTTGTACCCTGTGTTTTTATGAATATTTACTTCCTAAACGTTCACGTCATTAATTCATGAGTGAAAAGTGATCAGCGGGCATGTTGAGATGCTTGAATTATGCAACCCCTGCATACGCGTCAAAGCAGGTTTGATAGTTCCCTTATGAAATGGAGCGATTGTTTTATGGTTCTCTGCCTGTCTTTCTGTATGCTTCTTGCCTGTATTTTTCCTCCTAATGTTTGTTTGAAGATCCGTACGCATCCTATAAAGAACAAGTTAAAACCCATGGAGCATGCAGCTATGAGGGGGCATTTTGTTTCTGTTTGATTGAAAAATAACCAGGCTGCTTGAGTCGCGCCCTGAATTACGCAGTAGCTGTTATCACCTAATGCTGATAAAGACAATGCCTTTGCTGCTAAGTTCATCTGTTGACTAAACCAAGGAGGAGGTTGGAAACTAAGTGATCCTTGCTGACGTATTTTGTCGCTTGTGTAGCTTACTGAAATAAATCAAAAAGAGCTCATTGAAATATTTCTTCTGAATGCATCTCACGATGAAAGCAAGGGACTTGCAACTGCGTGCATTACCACGTGCCGTAAACGCACGCAGAAGGTATGCACCTGCGCTGCACCAGGCCCAGACGCGTTAGGCATAGGTGACATTCGTGCGCCGGCCTGGTGTCACGGATGGCATCAGTCGGCAACTAACCATGAAAGGAACCGGGCATGCCACTTCAGCCGTCCTCGGCGCCAAAGAGTTGGGTCCGGGCGGACCGGGCCCGGAGCGGTGTCCCGGGGGACCGCTGTCGGGACCTCTGCTGGCGTCCGATGCGCCGCAGAGTTGGATCCGAGCGGACCCGGTCCGTGAGCGGTGCCCCGGGGACCGCTGCTGACGCCGCAGAGTTGGATCCGGGCGGACCCGGTCCGTGAGCGGTGCCCCGGGGACCGCTGCTGACGCCGCAGAGTTGGATCCGGGCGGACCCGGTCCGTGAGCGGTGCCCCGAGGACCCGGGACCGCTGCTGGCGTCCTCGGCACCACAGATTAGGATCCGGGCGGACCCGGCCCGTAAGCGGTGCCCCGGGGACCGCTGCTGACGCCGCAGAGTTGGATCCGGGCGGACCCGGTCCGTGAGCGGTGCCCCGAGGGACCTCCGTCGGGACCTTTGCTGGCGTCCGCGGCGCCAAAGAGCTGGATCCGGGCGGACCGAGTCCGGAGTGGTGCTCCGGGGGACCGCTGTCGAGACCGCTGTCGGGACCTCTGGCGGTGGCACGTGACTAGCACTGCCATGATATAACGTCCGTGGTCTCGTTTTCCGGCTTCGTGGTTCCATTAACGACCAAGGCCCTAAACCCGATGCCCTCCGGCAAGAAGAGGAAATCACGGCCGCTATAGTATATGGGAGGTGGTAGCTGGAGTGTGGGTCCGAACATGGCTCGGAGTGGTCAGCAATCGGCAGACGGACTCTTCTCACAGGCTGTCTCACGATGGCTCTCAGCCAGCAGACGGACGCTGCTCACAGGCTGTCTCACGACGGCTCTCAGCTGCAATACACGTCTTTTCTCTCGGGAAGAGACGTGTAAGACTTTTCCAGGGGAGAGGTGCTTAAGCCCTCAGTTTACGATCTGATCGTCAAGGCACCGTCGCATCAACTTGATTATCAATAGCTTGATCCTGGAGTAGAGTATCCTGTATGATGGTCCTGATCATCAGTCGATGCTGCCACGGAGAACCCGCATCATTGGCTGCAGGGGCAAGCTGGGGACGCGTCGCGTTCTGATGACCTCGCCACCCTTCAGGGGCGATCACGAGGGCCTGGTCTCCGCCGTCCCGTCTCGGAGGAGCGCTCCCTCAGTGGTGTCAGGCGATAATACTGGGTCTTGTCGCAAATGCTGTCAGGGTCTCTTTATAGTCTCTTGTGTGGAGTGAGCATGCCAGTCGTGTTTGAGGTGTTCCATGCTTGGTGAAATGAGCTCATGAACTCATAGTTACCTCGTGACTAGGTAGGTTGTTTTCTGGCAAAAATGTAACAAAGCTGACTAAAACGGGGATGTGGAAAGCAACGGTAACTGGAAGTTAAAAGGACTGTATGGTCGTCATGCATCATTGCAATGAAGGGGAATATGTTCGAATTCACGTAACATAAATGGAAACAAGGGGCTTATTGCAGAGCAATAGCATTCCTCCGAACAAGCTAAATAAAGCGACTAGAAAGACAAATGTGGGAATCATATTCAAGTGACAGCATACAAAATTACAGAACAAACTGTATGATCAGCAAAGTGATGGGAACCAGCTCTAAAATGCGGTATAATGGGAAGGAAAGGAAAATTCCTTAACTCTGTGATTGATTGAGTCATTCCACGAGAACTTGACCACAGGATAACACGGCACCATCTCCAGATTTATCGAGGACATGTCTATGAGGCAATTTATACAAAAACACGACTATGCAAGTTTTATGAGCTACTCAGCGTATCAATAAGAAGCGCGGATCAGATGAATATGTGCAAGAACGTCGTAAACGCTACTTTTTAAATTTCTTTAACTTGCGCTCTAATCAACACAAACACTAATGTGTCCACGCCGAGTGACCGCAGAGACGTGCTATGGGAGCTCTGCGGTACCGCACCAGCATCACGCCATCGAAGGCACAACTACGCCGAGTGGCCGCAGGGACGTGCTATAGGAGCGCTGCGGTGCTGTACCAGCATCACGCCATCGAAGGCACAACTACGCCGAGTGGCCGCAGGGACGTGCTATGGGAGCGCTGCGGTGCTGTACCATCATCACGCCGTCGAAGGCACAACTACGCCGAGTGGCCGCAGGGACGTGCTATGGGAGCGCTGCGGTACTGTACCATCATCACGCCATCGAAGGCTTTAGTCACTTGGCGCCAGTTCCATAAACTCACCCCTAGGCCACAACGACTCCGCGGTATTAAAGAGAAACGTCTATCCACGCAGAGCCTCCCGACCGCCTCGCTAGCCGCTTGGTGGGATCGTTCCAGAAAATGTGACCGCACGATTCATCAGATCAGCCATCAGCACCGCTATTCCCCGGCGTCGAGCGCGCCCGGACCTGGCATTTCTATTTAAATGCACAAATCTGTTTTCACTATCGTTTAACATAATCGCGCTCGTTTCCACCGGCGCGTCCAATTTCCATCCAACTTTCGGTTTCACTGAGAGACTAGGGTTAGCCGGTCGTTCGCCTGCAGTATTTTGAGTGGATTCATTTATTCTGAATACGTTTACATCACACCCTCCTGCCACCGACAAATGCTTTGGGTAATTCAGTCCAGAAACCCAATGGACTTTCGCTCTCGGCAGGGCAGCGGATGCGCATAATACGCTTGAAGCACCATCGGTTTGGTCTGAAGTGATTACGCTTCAGTTTTTCGGCGTTTATGTTTCGCGTGTGGTGTACATCATCTGTCAGCATAATGGTTTGCCGTATTATCTCTCCGTTCTGACCCCGCGCCGAGCGCAAAGGTCAAAAGCGAAAACGAAACCCCAGGCATGCGGGCGGCGGTAGAAACGTTCGAGGTCCCCGACGATAAATGGAGATTGGCGCGGATTTATGGCCTCATGTCGCTCCTCCTCTCCGTTTTTCCGAAGGGTTCCAAGCGTGCGTCACCGGAAATCCACGGATGCCAACGCTGCCCGCACAAATGTCGCAACGAATCTGGTACACTATCAGATGCCACAAATCGGCTCCGCTCACGGTCCGCGGCGACAGCCTAAGGCTCAGCGTCGAGTCATGCGCGATCGCCCCGCCCCGGCCGCGATCGTGTGATGCAAGGGTAATTCACCGCGAGGGCTCCGACGCGGCCCCCCAGCACGGCTCAGCGGCGAGCCGGGGCACGGCCGGGCGCCTATCAGATGACCGCTCACCACGGCGTGCTCGCTCGGGATCACGGCCCAGGCGGAGCGGGCGGTGCCAGCGACGAGGAAACATCGCACGATGCATCTGTTGCGTGTGTTCGGGCTGTTACTGGTGGAGTAATGAGGTATGTGCACGTTCTCGCATTTTCATGGATGGTTTGTGGTTATGTTAACATTGGGAACGGTGTTTGCGCACCACGCACAGCGCCGTGATGGACTGTTAAAAGGTCAGAAGAGCAGCAACAAGAGATTATCGGTCTTGATGTTAAGGATAATTAATTCACTGGCTTCAGTGCTTATGAATTCAACTTGATCACTCGCACTTGGGCAAGTGGTTGCACAAAACCACTCCACGCCGCAATGGCATCCAGCAGGTATACGTCGGAAAAATAAATCACTTAAAAACAATATTTGCGCCGGACGGTATTCTGAATGATGTCACTCCAGTATTATTGCGTTCAACATTTCACAACTAGCGTCAGACCTGTCGTCCTCCGCCCCGGGCTCGTATTCTAGCGTGACCTGCCCCCCCCCCCTCGTCCGCTTCCCAGCCAGTCGTCCTTCCACCCTAGCCTACCTCCCATTCCATCCTGTCTCCCACACCAGCCTGTCTTCTATCGCCGTGTCTTCTATGTCTTCTCTGTCTTCTATGTCTTTATCGCCTATTGAACCCAGCCCGGCTAACGCTCAGCATACCCCTCACCATGCCTACCTCCTATCCACAGCCTGCGTCGAGCCGAGTCCATCTCCCAACTCCGGCCTGCCTGCCACCGCCGCCTGCCTTCCTCCTGACCCCCTGACCCCATCCTGCCTCCCACCATGCCTACCTCCTGGCCACAGCCTGCAGCGAGCCGAGTCTATTTCCCACTCCGGCCTGCCTGCTACCGCCGCCTGTCTCCCTCCTGAACCCCCTGACCCCAGCCTGCCTCCCACCATGCCGACCTCCTGGCCACAGCCTGCCTTACGCCAAGTTCACCTCCCACTCCGGCCTGCCTCCCACCGCCGCCTGCCTTCCTCCTGACCCCCCTGACCCAAGCCTGCCTCCGAAGCCAGCCCCAGCCGGCGCCGAGGACTCGCTCTCACCTCTGGACCGGACCAGTTTCACTGGGCGCCGGCCGGCCAAAGCTCCACCGAAAGCGAGAGCGTCGGGTGACCCTGGGGTCACCGCGGCGGGCGGAGGCCCGCGGGGCACCGGCGCCGAATCCGCAGCCGGTCAGCGGCTGGCCGTGCGGTCATGACCTGGGACTGCGGGCCGAGGGGGGGGGGAGCGCGGAGTCGGCCGATCAGGTCAGTCCGAAGGTACTGCTGGTCTGCTGCGCTGACGGATCGGCTGCTGTTCAGGGTGCGAAGCGCTTCAAACGTGATGTCACCCAGTGCATGGTCTGCCGGCCGCGCTGAGCGCGCAAACTAATATTGTTTGGACTTGTGGATGCATTGCGTGGGTTGGCTTGGGCTGCGGTTTCGAGAGTCGATGAGCCCTGAACGGTTTCCGACTTTTCGTTATTTTTATCGGGTTCAGCTGTGTTCTGTCCCGATCTTTCTTGCCCTTGGCTTCAGTCTGTGGTTTTGTGGCGAGCAGCTGCAGTGGCTGGAGAACTGAAGCCGCTCTGGCTCAGGCCCGTTATCATCCCAATGAAGACCCGTTCGATGTGATGTCTCGAGCCTTGTTCAAACACGTTCGAACATCGGTGGTCGGTTTATTTACAGTGATTGAGAGTGAGCAATTCGAATCACAAGCCTACGTTTATTTCAACAGACCGATGACTACAGCAAGTATATTACAGAGTCACAGTACACATTCTCTCAAACGAACTAAACCACCACTACATCTGAAACTGGCTGACGTGCGGAAAAGTTTCCGATTACCATGAAACTGCAATGGCCAAGGCTCCAGCTCAGTCACCGCATTTGCAAGCGCTGCAAGTAGCTGAGGTCACAAGAATGAGATTTAATCACATATCTATGTATTGCTCCATGTAACGTTATCGCTAAAGTTAGCGTTAACGTTAACGCTAACGCAACGTTATCGCTAATGTTAACGTTATCGCTAACGTTAACGCTAACGCAACGTTAACGCTGATGTAACGTTGTCGCTAACAGCTGCATATTATGCGTCCATTGCATCATGAAGACTCCGTGCAGACACCGATAGACATTTCATGCTATCTGAATAAAAAGACAAACAGTTTCAGCGACTTATTGTAGCTACGTCTACGCACATGACTTCACAACATGACCCACAACTACTCAAACCTTTTCATATAGGTAGTCATGATTAAGCCGACCGATAAGGACAACATATGAAACATATTATGCATCACTCGCTCAATCATTGTCGCACCGCCGCGTGTTTTGGACATTGCTAGAGCTATTGCACCCAGCTAATTGGAAAACAATGTTCAAAGCCGCGGTTGGGTCGGGCGCTCATTGCACGGGTCAGGGCAGCATTCACACCTTCAAGAGCACTCAGCCAGCGCGAAAATGACTACTCCAGCGGATCCACTTCAGCCCGGTTGCTCACTCTTCCACTCGATCGAGGTCATCACATGACATGGACTTATTTGACCTGAAACACACATGGGTGCGTTAAGACAAACGAACTTGACGACGTCACACCCAGGAGAACCTGCTGTTGTTCAGTGTGTACGGTAAGCATCTGATGCGGTCAAATAATCTGAGAGATACTGAAAGTAGCATAATAAGTAGTCTTCACGTACCATCCAGACCAATAGCTCGGATCAGCAAGTATAACATGCCTGAGCGCTCGCACATGGCACCCGACTTTTCATGCGCTCATCTAGTAACACCTTCTCACGTCTTTTAATCGTAGATCCCAATCCGCGAGGCTTGCTACAGCAGAGGTTTTGTTTTCTGTTGGCTGGTGACCTCCATCGTTAGCATACAGCACACGAATAGCGGCATATGCCTCACGGCCCGACCTTTCAGCTCTCCTCCAGCCGGCGGAACGGTACATTGTCTCCAGCGCCGGCAGCGCGCCGCTGGAACAACCTTGATCTACAGGCGCTCTTGACACTCCCGTTACTCTGATTCAACTTTTCTGAGAGGAAGATTCCTACGAAGTGTGGGAGCAGAGGCTTTGTTTCTCAATCGCGATTCTGTCCGTGGCCGTGATGTCTGAGCTAGGACTTATGTTTTCCTCGTGTCCACCCTGCGGCAGCACGAAAAGGAGCCAATGGGACGGCGTCAAAACGATGGAACTTTAAAGTAGCATAGGCACGACCGACTGAATGCAGGCCGCAACAAATCCCCACTTGCGTCGAACTTAGTGAGTTTTACTTGTGCGAACGAAATTTATGTGAACTGCCGCATCGCGTACGAATACATCCCTGGTCTTTGAAGATTATTGAGGTAGGCTAATTTATTCACGTCACTTTAGAGCAGCCTGAAGTGTCTAAGGGGCACTTCTTCCCAGCCATGTTCAGGAACCTCGGTGCTGATCAAATGATGAACAAAATTTAAAGAGGGTTTCGGGACAATGACAGGCGAGTCATTTGTATAGAGGTCGTCGTGGGGACCAGTCGGAGCAGGCCGGCCCCATGGTTGTAAACGCGATGGCGGGATGGCTAGTCCACCGTTCAAACACCCGCCGCCTCCGTTACAAACACTTGCGGAGAACTGGACGGTGAGGGCGACCGCCAATCTGGCGGCTCCGAGCCGGAAATTACACGGCCCCGGCGCTCGGCAGACAATCAGAAGCGTCATAAAGTAGCACCCGGAGTGCCGACGAGTGCCAGCGCCATTTCCTGTGTGGAGGCGCTGACGTGTCCATCACAGCCGAGGTCAGGAAGCTGGCAGCCGGGGTCTGCGGACCCTCTCACAGACTGGGACACCGTACGTGACCCCGGGGCAAGTCAGACAGCTGATGAGCTGGGGTGATACTTCTACTGAGAGGCTCGCAGGGTTAGTGGGTAGCGTTTATGGTCTTGTAAGCCTTGCATGGCTATGTAGATGGCGATCCGTGTGCTATCACCGACCCTGCCTGACGTAGTCACGGTCTGTTAGCCATGAGCCGTGTTAAGACGCATACCTGGGCCCGGCCGACGGCTCTGGCAGCTCTGAGCCAGCGGTCGTCAGCGGGACACCAGTCAAGCCGCGCCTGGCCGGCAGGTTCGCCGGAAGTCCGGCGCGCCGCCGTCTGGATCTGGATTTGGAGCTGCCCATCGCAGGGCAGATGGCCGCATTACCGTGAGAATCGCGCTGCGTGATAGCCGGGAAACGGCCGGGGCCCATTTGGACGATCAGGTGGAAATGCACAAGGTAATCCGTCTGGAGACTGCAGCACCTGGCACCTGCTTCCCATCCAGAAAAGGACAAAAACGACACAGAAGTTCTCATAGCAAACGCGCGGTCTTCATTTCTAATCCTCAGCCGCCGTGGGAAACAGATAAATGTGGTGGGATTCAAATGCACGCCACGCGGACTACTTTCGCTCGCACTGTTCTGGATAAAGGGTAGCTTCATGAGCTCCTTGTGTTGTGTTGGGCGCCTATGTGAGCCAACAGTGCTACGCCGAATTTCGAAGCGCGCCGTCGCTGCCGCCGTAAAGTGAGCCAAGTGAGCGATCAAACGGCTCGGGCCCTAACAAGCCATATCCGCGCGTAAACGCAGTGGAGCGAGTCTGATGGTTGAAATTGACCACGGCGACAGTCAGACAGAGACGATCGTTCGACAAGACGAAAAAAGGGACGAGACAAATAAAAGGTGCGCCGCGGGTCCCATCGATTTGCGGCGCCGAGGCTCGTCCATTTTTTGGCGCGTCATGTGGGGACGGTGGTTGGTTAAAGATGACTCGGAAAGGGATGCCAACGACCTAGGTACAGTCATGGTCGTCATGCTTTGTTATCGGAGGATTCGCAGGATGTAGCGAGGAATGTCACAGGAATGTGCCACGTTGTCCACCGCCTCCTGTAAGTGTGTGCATCCGAGACTTTTGGCACAGGTGCATAACATTGCGGTGCATCGTCGAAAGCGACGCAAATGACAAGAAGGGCGAGAACAGCACCAAAATACCGGTACGGAGCCATACCACAGACTGACATGACCTCCAGACTTCAAGCGGCGGAGCCGGCCGATTGCGTAGGTCGGCAATTTGGCCCCGGCCGCCGCGGGGACCGGCCTTGAGCGGTGTCGTACGCCGGGTGTCGGCGCCGTCCGAGGGGCGTCCCGGCGTCCCGGCGTCCCGGCGTCCCGGCGGCGCGGCCGGCGGCCCAGACCCGTCCTGCGCGCCGGCCGCAGCCCGTTCCCGTGGGAGTCGGATGAGAGATGAGGCGGCGGTGCGTGACCGTGAGATGGCCGACCGTGGGCCGTGACCGAGCCAGCGGCGGCCCGGCCAACGGGTGGGGTGGGACGCGCCCACCGGGGACGCTGCAGGACGGGGAGCGACGCGGCCTCGAGCTCGTTTGGTGTGCCTCGCTTGGCACGTTCGTACATACTGCCTCGCGCGGGAGGTCGTCGAAATCCTTTTCAAAGATGGTTCTAACCCAAGAGCCATTGCTTTCAGTCCAGTTCCCACCATCATGCCATTGACAGTGTGTGTGCCTAGTCAGAAGGTTCTATAAGGCTTTGTCTTATGAGATCGGGTAAAAATCATTTTTTGCTGTGACTGTGAGATAAAACTCTTGGCTTTGGGACACATTTTACACAGGGCCGGTAATGTATATAGCACCTGACAACGCGGTCCGTATTACATAAATACACTCAAACCTTTGCGCCTATGTTATGGTAGCGATCTCTGGACCATTCAGACGCTTTTTGCGGAGTAGGACAGGCGAAACGATAGCAGATGTGACGACTGACGGTTGTTATCACATAGATGACTCAGGGAGCTAATGCAGCCTGACATCGGCACCCGAGGGCAGTGGTTCCTATCATTGCGTGGGAAAGACTATCTTCCATGGCAATTAAGCATGCGGAGGTCTGGCGATGCGCACCCGCGCACTAATTCACGACTGCCATTGATTAAACAATGATCAACGATGAATCGGTTCCGGCTCGCAGATTCTTATCGACATCAATCAATTTGCCATGGTTTGCGGTTTTGGCGGCTGCGGCCAAAGCGTTGTAAAATACGTTAACATTTTTAGCAGTTGTTAGTCGCCATAGACGGGGCCGCACGCCTGTGTAGCTTCTGTGGCCCGATCCTTCTGCTTAGTCCCCAGTATTTTGTATTCGAGATCGGCTTGGAAACGGTGACATTTTGGTGGCTCTCCGCTCAACTAGAGCTGCACCCGCGGGTCAGAAGGGTCCGAGATCCGTTAGTGGGTCGCGGCCGGCACATCCCCTTTCGCCGTGCGGTAGGATTCACTTCCACATCGCTTCCGGTTGCTGCGATCTGACGTCACCTCCAAGCGGGCAGTGACGTGGTTTGCGGTTTGAGAACGCACGACGGTTTGCCACATTAACGCCTGCTAGTTTGCCAAGGTAGTTTTCTGCATGTCTTCTGTCGGAATCAGTTGGTAACGTAGATCTACATCACCGTATTGATGTAATTTTTCCCGGTTTCTATCTGTTGTTCTGAGTTGTTTATTTAACTCGAAAACTTCACCTTTTCTACGTTAATTGAAAGGAGCGGCGGGGTCATGGTGATATCACGGTGTTGCAGAAAACTTACCGGCCGAAACATCTACGTGCGTATGCTAGCAAATTGCATAGTGCTAGTTAAAAAGTCGAAGTTTTTGTTGCTGAAACGTGCAAGATCTGCGGTCGGTGGTTGCAAAGACAGAAGCTTACAAGCTACCAGCGTCGTGCATTCCGGAACCGGAAGACGTGACGGTCGGACCAGGCCACTTCTTCGACCAGCGGCCGTGTCGCAATCAACCTGCAGTCCCACTTTTTATCATTCCGTCAGCTTCAGGCCGCGCACAAAACAGCGTGTCACTGCTCACCTCCTTTTGCCGGCCTGTTCCCTGCGGGCCACGTAGAGCAGCACCTGCCCCGACCTGACCGACTTGAACACGACCACGGCCTCCGCGTGCGACAGTCCCTGCATACTCTCCCCGTTCACCGCCAGGATCTCGTCCCCTGGAAACGAGGTCAAAAGAGCGCTACGATCACTAGGTTCGTAACACGAATACAGCAACGGCTGTCAGTAAGGCACATTCGCAGTGCCCGTGATTTCAGCCCTCCCTCTAGACTTCGGGCTGCTGTGACCGCTATCCTTCCCCCGGACCCTCCCTTCCCGTGATCGATATCTGCGCCCTGTTGAAAGGGCGTGTCCCCCGCGGCCCGCTGTGTGGACGGGCGAGCGGGCCCGCGCCAGCTGATTAATGGGCCTGTTAACAGGCACGCATCGGCGGGTCTGGCCAGCGGCCCCACGAGGCGCGCCCCGGCGTCGTAACGAGGTCACCTGGCGCCCCTCGCGGGCCCCTCCGGCGTGCGTGACGTAACGCGCGCCGCTGGTGGAGATGCCCGATCGCCGATAGCGGCGAGGTGTTGGGACAGACGCCATCCATTAACGCCAGTTAGGCGCTGATCCGTCCAGATTATGCCCACATCGGCGCCATTACAAACCTTCCGATTATTGTAATCACGGCTTCCTCCCTTCACCGGGCGCGTTCAGAACAGAGATGTTGGGTACTCATAAGCTGTTTAGAGCGCTGCACATATGAGAGATTTCGTAAGGCAGTACGCGGCTGAGAGCCATACAACCAGCCGTAACCATCGTAAGCCAGCCATACAACTCATTATCACGTGGTTATCACGTAACAAACGTTTAAGAAAATATTGGTATGGGTGCCAACAGCTGAAATACTGGTCCAAGCGCTCGGTTATCTAAAAGCATCCGTAGTTAATCTCTTGTTGGAATAACTGCTGTTACACTAACCTTCCTTGAGCCTGTTATCTTCTGCAGCTTGTCCGTTAGGGAAGACCGTCTTTACAAAGATTCCGATGCTACCCTTGGGTGAATCCCTGCCGCCCACGATGCTGAAGCCCAGGCTCTTCTTTCCAGCTCCCTTTTCAAACTTGATAGTCAGCAGAGACGTTGTCAGAGACTTGGGTCTCCGGGACGTTCCCGATCCGGATGACCTGGCGCCTGACCTCTGGTCATGGCGCCTGCGCAGTAACTCCCGCACTGACGATGCCGACTGGATGCTGGAGACAGAGTACCCCGAAACGCCGGAGAGCACCGACTCTGGCCGCTGGTGCTCTTCCGTTTCGGAGGCGTCACAAGGCTCGGAGCCCACGGCCGGGTACTCGAGCGAGTCGTCCGGGTCATCGGCGTCGTCTCGTGCCGTCGCCGCTCCGCTGCTGTCCGGCACAGAGATGACCACCACGTGCTGGCCGGCCTGCTGCTGGCTCAGTCGGTCCGGGTTGAAGTCCCGGGCTATGACGATGTCCAGCTCGGGCGAGGGGTCGCGCAGGATGTCCAGCACCGTCTCGAGGGCACAGCCGCGCAGCCGTCGGCCGTTCACGTTCACTATCTCGTCGCCCACCTTGAAGCGCCCGTCCCTGAGAACAGAACAGATCAACTGATGCAGGTGTAACTAATCGACATGATTCTATAGCACCGTTCAATGCGGTATTTGATTTGTAAACAGTCAAAAACATTATAACGAGCGAATCCAGGTTGACTTTACCTTGCAATGGCGCCGTTGGTCTCCATCTCAGCGATGAGGTAACCGTGTTGGACGTTCCTGGCAATGAAGATACCCAGCGAGTCGCCGTCCGCCTTCAGGACGCGCAGCATCTTGAACTGTTTGCTGGTGAAGTCGGCCGGCAGCGAGGGCAGCGACGGCTGGCTGGCCAGACCGCCGTTCGTCTGTCCGATGTGACCTGTGGAGCGGGGCCGGGCCGGAGGGCGGCCCGTCTCCCGCGGCTCGCGCGTGCCCATCCGAATCCGACCGCGCGTCGGGCCGCCGCCGTCGGCCGGGTAGCCACCGGACGGATAGCCCTCCGCCCGGGGGTGTTGATATCCCTCGGGCCGGGTGTGGGGGTAGCCCTCCGACCGCCGGTGCGAGAATTCGTCTGCCCGAGAGCGAGAGTTGAAGGCGGGTGGTCTGGTCTGGTCCGGGTTATCTGGACGCAGGCCGGAGAAGCGTGGGCGCCCGTGCAGAATGTCGCCGCTGCTTCGTCGCCGCGGCCCCTCCTCGTGCCTCACAGAGTGCAGGATCTCCGGCTCCGAAAGGATCTCGTCGAACGAGGAATGGTCCCAGGGCATTGAAGTCTGGGTGGAGATTTCGCTCACCTGGTCTCTGATCAAGGATCTCCGCGGTGGCTTCGTCGGTCGTTTCTTGTGCTGCATGTACCTGCGCTGCGAATTCGGCCTCTCGGTGCTCGGGGGCGGAGAGACGCTGCCAAAATCGTCCGTCTTCCCGTCTTTGGGCTGGCGTAGGATGGTGTCGCTGTCTTCACTGGCGAGGGGAGAGTCGTCGCTCCGCTTGCCGCCCACGTACGTCTTGGGCCGCACTCCCTGGGGCTTGTTCGATTCGTCATCCGAGGAGGACGTGCCGAGTGGAGCAACATCAAGAGAGCTCGTCGCGTCAAAGCTCTTAGTGGAGCTGTTGGGACTCTCCCCTCCTGAGGACCGTCTGCCGTTGATCCCCCTCGTGCTACCCGGCGGCGAGTCTTCACTTCTTCTGGTGCCGTCGCTGTCGTAGCCGCTCTCATTCGAGCAGGCGTGGTTGAGCGGCAGCTTTCTGGGCATGGTCTTCACCACTGTTGCATCTCCTTGAATTTTAGCGGAGTCACCCGTGGTTGCCTTCTGTGGGGATGGGGAACTAAGACCTACCCCAGTTTTGGACGGACTTTGCTTCATTCCCCCTGTTGTGCTCATGTTGGTTTTGTTTATCTCATGCGCCTGAGGTAGTCGTCTGGGTCTTGAGCCTCCTAAAATCCCTTCATGACTCCTCGATCTGATATCACCGATCGTGACCTTTCTCCGCCTCCCAGCATTTCCGGGCTCTTCGGGCAACGCGGACAGAGGGTGAGAGGCATCTCCGGCGCCCTGTCCGGTTCGCTTTTCGCCGACATCCACCATATTCTCGCAGCTCACCGTCTTGGTGGGCAGGTATGCCGACTGGCTCCAGGTCTCCTGCGCCCTGGCCGACTGCTTCTTCAAGTCCTTGATGGTGGGAGGCATGATGTTCAGCTGGCTGGTGGAGGCGCTCTTGTAGAGGCTGACGCTGCGCTTTACGGGCCTCGAGGGCCGCGGCGCGTGCTCCGCCTCCTCTAGCCCCGTGTCGGAGCCGCGCCGCTCCTTGGACGCGAACCCCCCGCGCCGCGGCATCGCCGGCAGGCGGAACAGGTTGCGGATGCTCTCCACGCGGTCGAGCCGCACCCGCCGCTCCGAGCGGAGACTGTGCGTCTCCGGGTCAGGATCGGAGACGCGCCACCGCCGCCGGCCCGAGCTGGGGCCGCTGATCTGCTCGCTGCTGCCCGACCGGGTCAGACGCGACAGACGGCGGCCCACGCGGCGACCCCAGGTCGACGACTCTGGAACGAAAGGCAACGTAGGTTTGAGGCTACAAAGTTATCTAGAGTGCGAAAGGAAGGGGTAAAGGGAAAGAGTGTGTGTGAGAGAGGTAGAGAGAGAGAAAGAGAGAGAGAGAGAGAGAGAAGAGAGAGGAGGGAGGGAGGGAGGGGGGAGGGAGGAGGGAGGAGGGGGAGGAAGAGATAGAGAGAGAGAGAGATGAGAGAGAGAGAGAGAAAGAGAGAGAGAGAGAGAGAGAGGGAGAAGGGAGAGAGAGAGAGAGAGAGAGAGAGGAGAGAGAGAGAGAGAGAGAGAGAGAGAGAGAGAGAGAGAGAGAGAGAGAGAGAGAGAGAGAGAGAGAGAGAGAGAGAGAGAGAGAGAGAGGCGAAGGGGGAAGGGAAGCAAATCTCCAATGTGTAGATAGCGCAAGCCCAGCCGCTGTCCGCGCCACATGTTTTTACATGCGCCGTCGTTTTGTGATCACTTTCATTAGCGCACACCCTGTAGTTGTCATGACAAATACTGGTTAACTATTCTTTGATGTTATCAGGAGAGAGAGCGGTCAGAATCCAGTTCAAATGCGTGTTCTGTAGGAACACAGGTTTCTAATGCGGACATTCCCTTGTGATGACTGCATTACTTTGCTGCACGTTTATAAAACGTCTCGGCATGGTCAGCAGCGCAGACCATGGCTCGTCAAGTGCTCGCCGACTCTATCCCACTTTCACTCAGAGTTATGGTCCAGCCCGACCGCAGTCGGCACGCGCCGTCATCGCAGCGCTGCATGCAGACGAGCGGGAGTCGCTCCGTCACACGGCGCGTCAGCACTGCGGTCACTTCGGAAATGCCGGTCGCGCCGGCCGCGCCCACGCCGGCGACGACCGGCCGACTTCAGGTGGGATTCAGCGGCGGCCGGCGAGCACGACCGGCCGACGTCAGGTGGGAGTCGGCGGCGGCCGGCGAGCACGACCGGCGACGTCCGCGGAGACGCCGCTCTGCTCCGCTGGCGGTCTGCGTTCACCATCGCGGAGCTGGCAGGACGGCTTGACGCGAGACGGCGGTGGGAGGAGCTCGTTCCGCACAAGGGTGCGTGCGCTGCCCGCAGTGGCAGTGTAGTGCATGCAGCTACCCTCAAACGGTAGCGGCGGCGGTGAGGCCCCTCTCAGCTCATGTTGGCGGTGCTGCAGTCATCACTTATTCAACCTATGCTGAAGGTCACACAGTCGGCGCAGCGCAGGGTGCCGCTCTGCTGCCCATCCGCGGTCCGTGTCGGCGGCAGACCGGCGCGCTACATTCCTCCGGCCCCCGGAGCACGGAGCCGCACTCAAGTCACGTCCTGGCAGCACAGCTGCCGGACAGTCCGGCCCACGTCTCTGTCCCAGCCTGACCATTAGGAGTCTGCTGAGCGGCGCTAACCCATCCTCCGACGCCTGGCGTTGCCACTCGGCTCGCGGGCGCCTGTCACCCTGCGTATGTGGGACAGTCCTCAGAAGAGCCGCTCCAACCGGCCGCGGCGCTATTGCGCTGGACAAAGAGTGGAAAACCAGACCCAGGAGGCCCTTCTGTGCTGCACTCGGAGCGGAAACTGGCGTAACCGCCTCAGCCCTGCACGGCTGATCGCCGCCCGCCACCAGGGCCGGAGTCGGCCCGTGGAAGTCCTGCCACACCGGCTGTGTGCCGCGTCTGGGGTCGCTGGCCGCACCGCCGGCACCGGCGCTGGCCGCTTCCAGACTCGCAATTAGCATACGGGTGGCCGCCGGACGTGATTCGTCAGCCGCTCGGAAGGCGGGGCCGTTATTGGACAGCTGAGAATGGCCGATATCGTTCTCAAGATGAGCCGACCGAGCAGCGCGGTCAACGCCCGCCGGACGGCGCCGTCGGCCCGCGCGCGGGCACGGGCGAGTGCTGTCGCGAATGGCGGCAACTGTCGATGATTGGGAGACGCTTGTCGTCACAGCACTGTTGCCAAAACAGTTGGTACAGTTATGGACAGACGCCTAATTTATGAGAGGACTGCATGTTTTTTTTCTTATGCATATCGTTATTATATAATGGCAGGTGCACCCTTCTGTGCATAAGAACAAGTGCATGTAAATCTTTCCTTGCATGCAACCCTTCAGTATCTTTGCTCATGACGATGCCAATCGACAGCGAAAGACTCGAGAATTTCCTCATGCAAGGCACGGATTTGCCATCTTTCGTAGATACTTCTGCATTGATCACCCATATTTGGAGCCTTACAAGATCAGAACACCGTTAGCAAACAGATCGGGACAAGGATTTACAAGAAGCCACGTTTTAGCGGACGTCATCGTCGCCGTCAGATCTGCTGAGATGTCTCACCTTTCCTCAGCTGGTCGTCCATTGACATGTAAATGGCCGACGGCTTGATAAGGGGCGGCGCTGCGGGGTCCTCCGGGTCACCACCCTCCTCCCGCCGGAGGGGCGACAGGCTGACCAGCTGGGGGGCCGAGTCGGACCCTCGCCGCCGAAACAGGCGCATCGCCAGCTGGAAAGGAGACAGCAGTGGTTAGGCGCCAGCGCAGAGTACACAGAAGTACGATAATGTGACTGCAATGGTCTCGAATCGTGTGAACTCGACAGACATAAAAGGGGATGAGGTGAAATGGTTCACTCCTTATGCATTATCCTGTTGTGACCCCCGGACAATATGAGCCAGTTTCAGTATTTTCGACGATGTTTCGTCGCGAGATGCAACACAAGCATCATTAGCGATCCTATCTCACCTATGTGAGGATGAAGGTCATGTTTCCACCGAACAATAACGTGGTGTTACTAAACATGAACACTGGCTTTCTGCCACATATACCGAAAGTGGTTACAACGTTCCTTCGCGTCGCTTGTGAGCGGACACTGCTGAAAGACTAGCCCTCGCGGCTGGGGGGAGGAGTCACCTCCCCACGTGACCTGCACCGGCGGCTCTCAGACGCCGCGAGCTCCAGCATGGCCCGCGGACCGCTTCCGGTCCGTTTAACAGCGTCGTTTCAAAGCCGCTATAGCGGGAGGCAACACTGTACCGGGGCCGCGTCTCAGCGGGTCGCGTCGAGAAACAAGGCCATGCATCAGCGCTGTCGCGGGCCGACAGCCGTTAAAAACAGCCTTTTTACAGATCGTGTCGCCACCCGGCTGATCGGTGAGTGATGGTTCGGCCATGGATGCAGCCCGACATTCGGCTTATGTGTGAAAATATGTTTTTGTTGATTTCATGAGCGATATTGATGATATATAATGGGCCACTTGACATTGGATAAAGGTGTTGTTGTCATAAATATCAGTTCTTGCTGGGTCTGCCGCAACTGGCGACAGCTCACGTGTGCTATATCGATCGGCGGCTCGTCACATGGACTACACGTGCTATATCATGAGAAACAGGTTTTTGTACCGCTACAGTTAGATACTATTTTTGTGTGCATGGACGCCTTGAATGGAATATTGAATGACTTTGGAATGCAATATGATCGGTAGGTACATCCTTATTTCGAGCACCGGTGATTTTAACGCCCTGAAAGGTACGCGACGGTGGACGTACACATAGAACGGCCAAGCCCTGCTCCTTCTCTCCCATAAACGCCCATTCCAGAGGTGGGGCTTAGGCCGGGAACACGGGAGCGCCATCAGTCACCCTCGAGGAGACAGCGACGGCCGGTGCGGCGCGACACGCGGCGGCGGCGTGTCACCGCCGTCCGAGGACCCGCCCTCGCTCGACGGGACGCGGGCGGACGCCGCCCCCTGGTGAGCTCGGCCGGCGACCCCGGGTCGAGCCCGCCCCTGCCCCGCCCCGGCCGCGGCCCGTCCCGCCCGCGGGCGGCCCGAGCGCACAGCAGCGCCGGAAGCGGTCGACCGCAGGTGCGCTATTGTGTCACGGCTCGGCGATTGTCTTCGCTCGGAGTGAACAGCCCGATTGAATTGGGTTCAGAATGTTTGGCTTTGTGGCGATGATGGACCGGGCGAGCTTCTGAACACCCGCACGAGGTCGTCGATTCGGTGAACGAGGTTTGCCGCTTGAGTGCAGCTGAAGGAAGATGTATTCTTATTTATCCTATTTGTTTTGTTTGGCACCTGTCATAGGTGAGCAAACGTAAAGGATGCTCTCGTTTTTCGTGATAAGCATTAAAAATATGGCGACGAATGGGAAGAACTAGCTTTAAAACGGGGTATGACAGGCCAGGGTATAAGAGCACGCGAGTGGAGCGTAGGGCCACCGAACTCCAGCCCGACGCCCGTCGCCGCGTAATAGTTAACCATCGTTTTAATCAGCACGAGCGATAGACAGTTTAATAGGACGGTTTATTTGATGGGCTGCCTGTGGGCGCAGTCGTAACCAAATCAGCATCATCTATCAACCCCGCATTCTTCAAGCCTATTCGCTGCATCAATGCCACTTACATGCAAAGCGGCATTCGCCCTATTAACTTCAGCGGCCATCTCGTCAGGATATGGCCGAATCCATTCCGTTCGCCCCACGACTGACGTCATTAGACTAGACACGCACGCGCGCACGCACAGCCGCCGCCTGGCCGTACCCGGTTATTGATGACTTATGGAGTGAAATCATTTAATGCCGAACGTCGGAGAATCAAGAATTGCCTCATTAGGCGGGCTGTTCGCACCGGGAGGCCACTGTTTGTGACGCGGGGGAGCCCGTAATGATGGAAGATAGAGGCATTTGCCACTTTCAATTTCCACACGGTTGCCAAATGCCCCGCCAGTCCCCGGCGCACCCGCAGAGACAATTTTCTCAGCCCGCCCCACCGTTTGGGATACCCTAACGATGCCCAATTCACTGCCTGCTGATTGCATCAATCATGTACGTTTGCGACACATGCTCTTTCCACGGACGTTCAGGTATGAGTCAAAGGTTCACTACGCAGTTGGCACATTGTAAAAGAACAACGAACATGCCACTGATGTGATTCCTTCTGGACGGCTGGACGGGTCAGAGATGGCCTCAACGGCGTCTCATTGTGACGTCTCTTAGCGATGGCCTCACTCGAGGAGGGCGAAACGCTTGCGAATCGATCAGAACGGCAGACCACCGCTGCATCTTGCAAGTTGTTCACGGACGCAAAATAGCCTGCCAGGCCTGAAACATTGTGCTGATCTTGCGGCAGGTGTTGTGAGCTTGGATCGTCGATTCAAATGTTTCAAAGTTTACTTTAGTCCACTTCTGTTAAGATACTTTTTGACTGCGTACCGCGTACAGTCCGTGGCGTCTTTCTCCACAGCAATAAGCTCGTCACACACACCTTGTCCGGTTGCGTAATGGCCGCGACGTCTCATAACCTGCGCGGGTCGCATGACCTGTCGTTCGCCATTGTCACCGAGCGGGGCCTTATCCCACCAAGGCCTCCACTAACAACGATCAGTTCCCGGCCCGCAGAGCACGGCGACCCGTTTCCATTGACACAAATTCCCACCCCGCACCATACAATCGACACGCAGGTGTACATTGACTGGGTCACAACCCCGACTATCCTTAGTGCCGGCAAAGAACAATTTCCCAATCGACCCGAACCGGGCTTTGGTTCGTGTGGCGCTGGTCGGAGCACAGCAGCCTGCTGTTTAAGGTGCAACGTAGATTGCCCGGCCCAAAGCTGTTGAAGCAGTTAACATCTTTGATAGGGCAAGATATCCACGCAGTTGATCCGTATGTGGATTCGATCACCTTCGCAGTTTGTTGCTTTGGGTCTTTCGTATGCTGCAGCCTACAAAGGACTGGGTAATACGCTGACTCGTGCTTGATGTGAGCCACCTAAGCTAAGGCTTATAGCCAAAACTATAAAGATGCTAGTGCGCGGAGTTTTAGGACCCGTATAAAATACATTTTCTGTCCGAGCGCATCCAGCTCAAGTATGTTTCAAATACTTCAGTCCGATTGTATAACAATTCCTTCGGGAAACGATTGCGAACGATTAAGCGTGCATTGATATAGCATACCCAGCGTATATAAGCAAAGGGCAATACGAAACATGAAACATTATCAGGTTAGTCATGCCCGTGTTAGGGTATTTTCTCCTATCACTACTTTCTCGTTACCTGTTAACTTCGCTAGGATTTGTCAGATGACACCTCCTTCTCATGAATGAGGTCAGACAGCTGGTATGTCGTGTTGTAGTTGCATGTTTGCATCTATCTATATCTGTTGCTGTCGCTCTCGCCTCAGACGCCCTATGCACTTACCGTTTTCTGGAATACAACATGACTTTCAACAATGAGAACGTGAGTACACTAATGATAACAGCTTCGGTCACGAACCCACGTGCCGCATTTATGAGCATCACAGCCATGGCCCCCTGCGACCTGGTGTCACAGGTCACGTAGTGCTACTACGCTGGGACCGTTCACAGAGACTCTCGCACGGTGCAACAAGACCTTGCACGCACAAGCCAGACCAGTGAGACGCGTCTTCGCCACGGCGGGAGGGTGAGGGCCCCACCGCCAACGAGGTCCGGGAGGGTAGCTGCAGGCCGTGCAGGCGTCCGTACACTTCAGTGTTCCGTGATGCATCCCCGGATGCAGGGTGCAGTTACATGTGCACGGTTCAACGCTCATGGCGTTATCTGCAGTAAGATCGTGTGACAAAATATCACGCATGTGCGGGGCGGTGGTGGTGTCGTGATTCGGGCGCTCGGGCGCTCTGCACCTCTCGGCACTGAGTTCGAGTCCCTGTCACGCCACTACCTTACCACACATGATAGCTTATGCAGGCATCCTGTCTAAAAATATCCCTGGCAATCCGTCGGATGCAAAGCCCCAGTCAATATCATCGGCACGTTTGTGCGCCAGGCCAGTAGGTGATTATTCATTAAGGGCTATGACAAGTGCAAGGGATAAAGAATCTGCAGCTGATGGTCTTACTGTGCAGCTGTGATGCGAGAGCGTTCGCCGGACGGAGACCACGCTCCCGCGCGTCAGACGAGGGAAGGGACGCCAGTCACCCGCTTGTCATCTGGTCCGTGATTAAGTTAGACCGATAAATACATCAGTGAACACGTCCGTTCTTAAGAAATGCAAAGGCGCTTGGGCTGATGTAATGACGCCAACCAGAAATGTTCCAGGTTAAGCCAACCCTATTAAATTTGTTATCAATACCAGATATAGCGGAGCTTTCTTTCTCTCATGGAGGAAAGAGCTGAAAATGATCGCGTCGCTCTTCTCAACAATGTATCCAGATAATAAGTAAACTGATTAAAAAAAACACTAGAAAATGGAAAAAAGCTATACGTTCTGGGAAGCCTGCGCCTTTCTCTTGCTGCCTCCGCACAATGTTGTGGAGCACCACTTACTGGTATGTTGCCATGGCTCATCATGCTATTTTTTGCCGCGCCGACTCCGTATCCGATTGTCGAATCGTAGGTAACAAATAACTCCGGTCATTCAGACCCAGAAAATATCACGTTATCCCAAAGCAACTAATCGATGATGTCACATTTATCTAAAATGTTTAAAGACCTCGGAACAGACTAGTGATTTCGGAGCTGGTTGCTC